TTGCATTAACTGTAGAAATTTCAGCGCAGGGAAAATCAAATTCCCCTTTTCTTCTTCATTCTCTTCAGAAAGAACCTTTGTCATCATCTTGCATTCCCTTATGTCAAGGTGTCCAAGCTTCTCTAGACTTCTAGCCATAGTGGTTGAGAATAGGTATTTCAAGTTATGGCAGCCATGAATTATCAATTTTGTCAGGTTCTCAACACAGTAAGATGCTATCCATATCATGTCAACATTAATCCATGACAATTGCAGCTCCTCTAGGTTTGGAAACAGAAACTGCACAACATATAATTCCCTTTCTGAGCAAAGCTTATCATTTTTTGATATATAATAGAAAATGAAAATGTGAAAATTTGTAATATTTGTGAATGGTTTGAACACAAGTATATTGTTTGAGAAAAAAAAAAAGATGGTAACCTATATAGTGCTTTAAGTGTCGTTTTTATACACCATGTGAAATGGATTAAATTAATGTAACTGATACTGCTTCGCATTAGAAAAAACAAAAAAAGAAAAAAAAACAAGAGAAATGAATTAAATACCTGATCATTGAAAAGTGGCATGGTGCTGCAATTACTGTTGAAGCTAATCAGCTTTGGCAGACGTTGTAATCTCAAGGACCGCAACAACTGACCAAACTTTGGCTTTACTTCTTGACTTGCTTCAACAATATCTTCTCTGCTCCTTTGCTCCTTGACGAGATCAATAATCTCTTCCATGTTGCTGCAGTCTGACACTTTAATTTCTTGTAGTTGGAGAAACTGGCTAGCTATGGAAAAGGAGAACAAATTCTTTAGCTGATGACAACACTCAATTGTTATTGTTCTTAATTTGCTAAAAGCCGTATCTTTGAACCTGGCTTGAAATAACTTCTCCAATTTAATTAAATTACGAAGAAACAAAACTTCCAAGTTGGGAAATGCACTGAAAGGACCCCATCCCCTTAAGTTAACAATTTGATGAAGCTCTGGAGCATTACAAATATAGAGATACTTCAGATCTGGAAAACCTTCAATATCTAACTCATCAACCACATTCTTTACGCCATTCAACTCCTCCAGATGTAGCTCTTCAGTCATCTTCAACAACCGTTTAATTGAATAGTCGAATCTTATGTGTGCCTTCATCTGCAGCTTCAATACTTTTAAGCTATCAAACGAACTATCCCAGTTGTTCCACACATCCCCCATGAATATCTTGTATCTTTCTAATTTTCCAGGGATCGTTTGAACATCAAGGACACGTAACTCTAAAGCTGTTAGTCTAGGTAACTGTGTCAACTCAGAAAGGCTAGCATTTCTTTGCCTCCCATGCTCCATGACATCCCACTGGTAAAAGCTGTTTCCCATTTTTAGCTCTTGTAGTTTGGACAAACTTGCTAAGACTTGTTGTGGAATTACTTTCAATTGTGTGCAGTCGCTCAAATCTAACAACTTTAGCTCGGTCAAACTCCCTACTTCTTTTGGCAGCTCTTCAATTTCACATCCTGCAAGGCTGAGGACTTGCAAATTCTTCAGCTTTCCTATGATAGCACCTACGTCTTCATCTCCTAACACACTTTGATCCAAACGTAATGTGCGAAGGTCTGTTAGGAGAGCAATAGACACAGGCATGGGGGATAGATTCGTTTTTGTCAAACCCAAGACTCTGAGTTTTTCAATCCCTGAGAAAAAATTTGTAGGAATTGCTAGAGAGTAGTTGGACAAATGAAAGAAAGTAAGCTTGGGGCATTGGAACTTATCTGGAAGCAGACCACCGCAAGCATCTCCATTTGATAAAAAAATCCATTTCAAATCTGTCATTACCTCTTTTTCTGGCCACCCTCCCTGCATGTCTTCATCTCTTGAAGTAAACAAACCATAGTTCCTAGAAGCCATTGACTTGGCAACATCCCGAATGAGGTCATGCATGTCAAAATACATTTTGCCACGACCATCTACCAACAGAGAAGACGCTTTGAGATGATCAACCAATGACAATACTCTGTTTCGTGTTTCTTCTATTGTGCGGACATTTAGAAACAAACCCAAACCCACGCCATATTTCACCAACTCTTCAATGGCAGCATTGTGGCTTAGCAAACTACACATCAAGAATGTTTGCTTGAGTTCTTCTCTTTCTAAATGCTTGAAACTGAACTCTATAGCTGAGAAAAATTTTGCAGATTTCCCATTCGGAGAAGGTCTTTTCAATTCTAGCAGAGCATCCTTCCAATCATGCACACTCTTATTTTTCAAAGCATTTCCAATTGTTGCAACAGCAATCGGCAATCCTCTACTTTCTTTTGCAATCTCCCTTCCAATCTGCCGCAACTCATGCCTTTCGACATCCTTGCCAACTATCTTCTTAAATAGCTCCCATGATTCATTATCTTCTAATTGACCAACTAGAAATTCTTTTTCAGTACCCATATCACCTGATAAAACAGAGCGATCTCTGGAGGTCAACAAAACCTTACATACAAAAATTTGTTGTTCAGCTGAGCTTTCATCATTCTTTTGCCCTACAGGTTGCTTTTGCTCATTTGCAGATAAGGGGATTCCCACATCCTCCAAAGCTACTCGTCCCCAAATATCATCCAAAATTACTAGGACATTCTGCCTTTTTGTCAGTGTTGACTTTATTCGAGCAGCAGCTCCCCACTCTGGAATCCCATCAGGAAGCTCTAAACCCAATCCACGTTGAATTTCTTGTTGAATACTTTTCAAGTCTGGATTCTTCGTCACTTTAGCAATAACAACTGCATCAAACAACTTCTCTTGCTCTGCTTTTCTTTTAACTTCTCCAGCTAGCAATGTCTTCCCCACGCCAGGCATCCCGTACACCCCAATCTTCTTGATGCTTGGAGTTAGTAGAGCCTCCATGATCTCCTTTAGAACATGCCTTCTTGAGTCAAAGTCCTTGAAAACTTCATCAATCAGATCTGCTTTCTCCTTTTCCACATGAAAGAAGGAAATTCTATTGAACTTGGCCTCCAGAAGTTGACCAACAGCCAGGGCATCCTCCTCTGCTTTTTTGCTTAGTCTGTAAAGAGACTTGGGATTAAGACACAACCCTAGGAAACACCTCTTCTTGGCTTTTTCTTCTAATTCATCCCATGATTTCTTTGCTTCTCCAGTAATATAGTCATCTGCTTTACTCATCCAATTCTTGACCTCCTGTTCAATTTCTTCAGCCTTTCTTTCACCATCAGTAACATCATGTTGCACACTCTCTCTTCTATCCGTCAGCAGCGCCAGTTTATCCTTCAGATTTCTGACATTATCGCTCCGTTTGTAAACAAGAGTTATTGGTTGTGAGATCAGATTAATAGTCGTTTCAACTAGGTGCTCAGCACATTTGCCACCAGCAGCAACGCCAATTTCAGTGGCCATCCTCTAATTCTGTGCTTTTTTTTTTTCCTGGGTGTGTCGAGAGACAAGAAACAGAAGAACAAAGGCTGATAATAGTAGGAGGGTGAGCTTTTTTTTTTTTTTCCTGGGTATGTGGAGAGACAAGAAACAGAAGAACAAAGACCGATAATAATAGGAGGGTGAGCTGATTTGTGTAGAGGGATGAAAACTGGTCAGAATTAGAGTTACAAGAAGCAGAAGAACCAAATTAAACGAAGGTAAGAAATGAGAATTGTGGGAGGAAGAGCAAATTTGTGTTCAGGGATGTGTGGTGACGTGCAGAGTCACAAAAGATTATCAAAAAGAAGAGTTGAGCAAAGACGATGAAGGTAATAAGTCACGATGAAAACAAATCAAATGAAATCGGGATAATTAATGAAACAAAGGCTGAAAATAGTACAAAAATGAGATGATTTGTGAAAAGGGGGGTGAGTTGAGGGGCAGAGAGTAGCAGAAGATGATAAAAAGGACTGAGCAGAGACAATGAAGGTAACAAGTTGGGATGAAAGCAAATCAAATGAAATGGTGAACACAGCGAAAGTCAAAAGAGAGACTGAGCAGCAAGTTTTTGTCTGAAGGGGATTCAAGTGAAATGCTTTTTATGGCAGGCATTGAGGAATGAAAAAGGGCAAGAAAGGAAAATTGATAAAAGACGATGAAATGACCAGGGACCAGATTATGCAATTATTGTTATTACTAGCTGTTCAAAAAAATTATTGTTATTACTAGAAAATAATAAGAGCTTTTCTAATCAATACTCTTATTTTTATTGTTATTGTTAATATTATGCAATTATTCAGGTGGCAAGAAAAAATTTCACACCTCATTTTTCTTTTTAAATTTTTTTGGCCACCATTTTCCTTTAATTAAAACAAAACTTGTTACTAGGAAAATAATAAGAGTTTTTCTAATTCATACTCTTAAAATATATATTTAAAATATTTTTTATTATAAATATATATAAGAAAATATAAAAATTAATTTTAATTTTAGTGTCAAT